TCAGGGGAGCTTTGACATATCATCAGATCTGAAACTGGTCAGTGGTGTGGAGCCTTCCATCGGAACCAACCTTTCTGAAGGTTTGGCTGTGGGTGATCGGTCAGGGTGAGGCTGGAAGAAGTGTGAGTGGCTCCAAGTATGGTGAGAGTTTCCATCATTCATCGAGCCTCATGAACCAGGGACTCATTCCTACAGGTGAGAGACTGTTCCAGTGTGAGGTGGTATCATCCATGTTGTAAGATCCCCTCACATGTCGAGTGCACCTGTTGATCTGCCACATGGAAGAGAATCCAGTCAAGTCTGAGATGTGTGACCAAGATTTCCGACGTACCTCAAATTTTCACATGCACCAGAGCAATCACACTGGAGAGAAGCCATTCACATGTAAGGAATGCAATCAATCATTTGCATTCTCATCAATTCTCCACAAACACCAGTTTATTCACACACGGGTGAAACCATTCACATGCGAGGTGTGTGACAAATCATTCTGGCACTCAATGAATTTCCGCGTACATCAACGCATTCATACAGGGGAGAAACCCTTCAAGTGTGAAGTGTGCGAGAAATCCTTCTCCCAGTCATCAAATCTCCAGAGACATCAACGTATTCACACTGGGGAGAAACCTTTCAAGTGCAAAGTGTGTGACAAATCCTTTTCGCAGTTATCAAATCTCCACATACACCAACAAAGTCACACAGGGGAGAAACCATTCATATGCGAGGTGTGTAACAAATCATTCTCATCTTTAGTGACCCTCCGGGTACACCAACGCATTCACACAGGAGAGAAACCATTCACCTGTGAGGTGTGTGACAAAGCTTTCACACAGTTATCACACCTGCTGGTCCATCAGACAATCCACACAGGAGAAAAACCCTTCAAATGTGAGGTCTGTGATAAAGCTTTCACAACATCGACCAGGCTTCTGATGCATCAGAGTGTCCACACAGGGGAGAAGCCTTTCAGATGTGAGGTGTGCAACAAATCCTTCTCAAAGTCATCAAACCTCCATGCACATCAACGTATTCACACAGGAGAGAAACCATTCACATGTGATGTGTGTGACAAATCATTCTCCGAATCATCCACACTCCGCATACATCAACGTGTTCACACAGGGGAGAAACCTTTTACCTGTGAAGTATGTAACAAATCATTCTCCCGCTCCTCTAAACTTCGTGCCCACCAATACATTCATACAGGAGAGAGGCCATTCACATGCGAGGTGTGTGACAAATCATTCTCGCACTCAGTGAGCCTCCGTATACATCACCGCATTCACACAGGGGAGAAGCCATTCGTGTGTGGAGCGTGTGACAAAGCCTTCTCATGTTCATCAAGCCTCCTGGTCCATCGGACAGTCCACACAGGAGAGAAACCCTTCAAATGTGAGGTTTGTGATAAAAGTTTCACGCAGTCTACAAGCCTCCTGAGACATCAGAAAGTCCACACGGGAGAAACTGTACAGGTGTGAATTTACTGAAGATGCTTCCAGCCTGTCCTCTCCTGAGGCGTCAGAGGATTCACCAAGTGCACAGTCTATTCAAGTGTGAGGTGTGTAACAAGGGCTTTGGACAATCATTGATCCGATGACACACCGGGTTCTTTCACACGAGGGAGTAATCATTTAACAGGCAAGGTTGCTTTCATAACATCTTCACCCTCCTCAGATAGCTGAGGATTCATATGGGGAGAACCCGTCGGGTGAAATGTTTGTGACAAGGCTTTTACCCACTCCTCCAAACTCCTGAAGCACAGTGAATCCACACTGTGACAAACCTTTCAGATATGATATGTGTTACAGGCCTTTTACACAGCTAGCGTACAACACACACACAGGGGACACGCTAACAGTGTGAGTTCTGTTCAAAATCCCCACACGTTTGTCACACCTCATGAAAGAGTCAGACTGGATCCTCTGGGATGTAGTGATCCATTGACCTTGTTAATATCATTCAATTAGATCGTGGCCTATCTGTGTATCAACAATCTACCTATCTTGACTCTGTAACCCTTAACCTCTTGCCTAACAATAAATCGATCAATCACAGTTTTGAAATTTTCAGTTGATCCCAAGCTTCAACAGATTTTTGTTTGGAGACAGTTCCGGATTTCCAGTCCCCTTTTTGTGAAGTGTTTGCTGATATCACCCTAAACAGCCTCATTCTAACTTTAATGCTGTGCCCCTTGTTCTGGACTCTCCCAGAGGTATCGTTCCTCTCAAACTATTTGATCAAGTTCTTTACTCATCTTCAAACATTTCAATTGGATTAACCCTTAATTTTCTGCACTTTGGGAATATAAACTCAGTCTGTGAAACCTGTCCTTGTGATTTAACCCTTTTAGCCCCTGAAATATTTCAGTGAATCTGTGCTGCACTTCTTTCAAGGAAAATATGTCCTTCCTGACCAGTGGTGCCCACAACTGAATACAGCTAGGGTCTAAACAGAGCTCTGTCTGGGAGGACTACTGTTCTAGGTATGGTGAGGGAGTGGGTCTGAGTCTGTACAGACCTGAGTTTGTCTTTGAGACTTTGTTATTTTGGTGCAAATTGAATTTTGTCTTCATTTCCTCCTGTTGTTTCAATCTTCTGCATAGATTTAATAACACGTAATAAATTGTATTTTGGCAAAACGGGATCTGTCAGCCTGGTGTTTCTATTCACTGAAATACTCAGGATCCTACAGTAAGATTCCTGTAATATATTGGTCAAGTCACTGTGGAATGGGACAATTTTTCCATCAATTGAATTTATAGTGTACAGGAAGCAGTATGTTTCTCAAAGAAAGAAAGACTCTCATGTATATATACGTTTCCACAAACTCGGGCTGACAACAAGTACTTTGCTGGCTTACCATTTTCAGATTGAAAATATCTTCCATCGTGTAGTGTGGCACTATCATCATGCTAAATATGACAGACTTTGGAGAGATTGAGCAGTTCAAGACTGGGCATCCATGAACTGTTGTGGCACACTACATGTGTGCCAAACAGCATAAACAGCAAGTGATAGAGCTAAGCAATTCCCAGAATCAATGGATCAGATAAGCTAAGCAGTCCTGCCATGTCCAGCAGTGAAACTCACTGGAGGAGAAATCTGCACAAATATCCCCATCCATATTGATGGAAGAGCTCAACACATCAGTGAAAAAGATGAGGCTCAAGCATTTACAACAATTTTCAGCAGAAGTACCAAGTGGATGGATTATCTTGGCCTCCTCTGGTGGTCCCCAGCATCACAGATGCCAGTCTCTGCTTCAATTCACTCTATGTGATATCAAGAAGAGGTCTGAGACACTGGATACTGCAAAGGTTATGGGCCCAGATAACATTCCAGCAATAGTACTGAAGACTTGTTCTCCAGAACTAATCATACACCTGGCCAAGCTACTCCAGTACAGTTACAACACTGGTAACTACCTGGCGATGTGGAAAATTCCTCAGCTATGTCCTGCACACAAAAAGTAGAATGTATCCAACCTGGCCAGTTACCGCCCCATCAGTCTATTCTGATGGAAGGTGTCACCAACAGCGCTATCAAGCAGCATGTGCTCGGCAATAACCTGCTCAGTGATGCTCAGTTTGGGTTCCACCAGAGCTACTCAGCTCCTGACCTAAATACAGCCTTGGTTCAAGCATGGACAAAAGAGCTGAATTCAACAGTGAGGTGAGAGTGACAGCCTTTGTCATCAAGGCCATATTTGATCGAGTGTAACATCAAGGAGCCAGAGCAAAACTGGAGTCAATGGCCATCAGAGGGCAAAATCCTCGTTGGTTGGAGTCATACCTGACACAGAGGAGGATGGTTGTGCTTGTTGGGGATCAGTGATCTTAGCTCAGGACATGACTGCAGGAGTTCCTCAAGTTAGTGTCCCAGGCCCAACCATCTTCAGCTGCCTCCTCAACAACCTGCCCTCCATCATGTGGTCAGAGGTTGGGTTGTTCACCAATGGTTACACAATGTTCAGCACCATTCATAACTCTTCAGATACTGAAGCAGTCTATATCCAAATGCATTAAGACTTGGACAACATCCAGGCTTGGGCTGAAAAGTGGCAAGCAGAATTTGTACCACACAAATGCCAGGCAATGACCATCTCCAATGCCAAACAATCTAACTACTGCCTCTTGACATTCAATAGTTTTTTCATCATTGAATCCCCCACTACCAACTTCCTCGGTGTTACCATTGAGCAGAAACTGAACTGGACTAGCCATATAAGTAATGTGACAACAGACTGGGTCAGAGGCTCAGAATCCTGCAGTGAGTAACTCATGTCTTGTCTCTTCAAGCCCTGTCCACCATCTACAAGGCACAAGTCAGGAATGTGATGGAATACTCCCATTGCCTGGATAAGTGCAACACTCAAGAAACTTTACACCATCCAGGACAAAGCAGTCCACTTGCCTGGCACTACATCTACAGACATCTACTCCCTCCACCCCTGACTTTCAGTAACAGCAGTGTATACTATCTTCAAGATACCCTGAAGAAATTCACCAATGATCCTTAGAGAGCACCTTCCAAACCCTCTACCACCTAGAAGGACATAAACAGCAAATACTTGGGAACACCACCACCTGCAAGTTCCTGACTTGACAGGATATATATCAGGGTCCCTGGGTAAAAATCCTGAAATTCTCTCTAACAGCACTGTGGATCTACTGACAGCACATGGAGTGCAGGGACTCAAGACGTCAGCTCACCATCACTTTAGAGAGAACAGAAGGGCTTTGTTTGAGGTCTTATCTGAAAGGTGGTTTCTTTGACAATGTGGCTTTGCCTCCCTCTTTTATGCCAGACTATTCTGTGATTGCGTCAAATTCAATCAAAGATTCTCCATCACCATACCTTGCCGACTGTCATTTCCCAATGTTGGTTAGGGATAGGGACATCGTGCACAGGAAGAAGTGCTTCCTCAGCTCATCTGTTGCTCAAACCCTCATTATATACCTTTCAAATGTTATGAGTTAACTGGGAAGAGTACACTATCTGATTTTGTGGTCCCAGTTATGGGGGAATGCCCAGATAATGTTACTAAAGTGATTGTTTACTAAAACATAAGCACATAATGTTGCAGTCTTTGTTTTTAACCATAAAACAAAAGTTTATTAACACACAATGAAAGGAAAAACCACTTGATTCCCTTATACACAGATTCAAAGATTTTTAAATACACAGTAGAGATAACTCACACCCCTTTATAGATTTAACTGAAGCACCAACTTTGTACCCGAATCATTTTACCGTGGTACAAACCTTCTTGCAATTCTGACAACACCTTGTGCTACAGGACCCAGTCCAGTTCATTTTAGCCTCAATGTGCTTGAGGTGATTAAAATTTATATTCATTTGCTAGAACTGTCGATAACATTTTTACAAAGTGTTGTCATATACCTGACATAGCTTCCTTCCAATGTCATACTATCTCTGATGCAACCCTTTAAAAGAAATCTTTTTCTCTTCCACTGATTATCCCAACACTCCAATTTGAGACTACGAATAAATTATTCTTGGATCATTTCATTAATTAAAATTCATTTTCTTATGCCATTTATCACATGTTACTCCATGGAAAGACTTCTCAGCACTTCAGAGCTCAAAACCTGCTTCTTTCTCGAAAGACTTCACACCACAGACTAAAAATGAAAGTCAGTGCCTGAAATATTTTTCCCTAAGCCCTCTGGGTGATTCCCTGGGACCTTTGGATAACTTTTCTCTTGGAAATATGCATATTGTAGTTTTATTGAAAAAAACTAAACTCATTGACAAATCCATATGTTGAACATAGAATTCCAAGAACCTAAACTCCCAGTAAATTGTACTGTAAAAATCTCACAGTTTCATCACACAATTCACCTTTTCAAAGATCAACTGGCCACACAAAAACTTCCTCGGACTTTGAGCTCCCTGAACAAACATTCCCCACCTTACAGCAATGGATCAGTATGACTGAGATGAGGTCTGGGAATGGTTGTATAGTTGTCCAGAAGTTAGACTAAGTTTTTCCTCCTGACTAACATTTCCTGGTTAACTATTCATTTAAGTATGTAGGAACTGTCCAAAGTCTCAAAATAATAATAATAACAAGATGTGAAATAATACGAATCCATGCAGCAGTGTATACATTACTTCCACATTACTCCCAAGAGTAATAAACATACACAAAGAAATAAACATGAATCAAAGCCAGTATTAATTGAGTAATAGCCAAATTGAGTTGTAAGGCTTACCTTACTTACTTGGAAACTGTAACTCGGAGCTGGAAACTTTTTCAGAAGGTTCTAGGGAACAAGGGACTTATCTAGAGTAGTTTATATTTTATGGCTAATTTCCACTGTCTCAGTAGGTCCAGAATTGCAAGGGTCCCCAACATGTACCCTGGGTTGCACAATGATCAGAGATAACATTTAAGGGTGGGCAGCGAGGGGGTGATCATTTCCAGAGCAGGTTGTGCTCTGTTTCTTCTTTTTGAAGATTGTTCCAGCATCAACTTCTTTCAGAGAGAGTGCAGCTCTCATCAGCATGTCAGTGCTGTACATCTGCTTCCCTTGCCTGTACTTCAATTCCAAGTGATAGCTCTGTAAATGAAGATCCTTTGCAATGGATCCATGTAAAGAGAAGTGGTTTGAGAAAGATGTTTCAAAATAGCTTGTGGTCAGACTTTATCATCACTTTCTCTGTCCCAAATAGGTACTAGTTGAAAAGTTCACAAGCAAACATAATAACCAGAATCTCTCTCTCTCAATCTGTGTACAATGTTGTTCAGTTTGTGTTTACGCCCTTTAATTTGGCCACTTATTAAGAAATCTCACAGACATACAAGTACTGAAACGATGATTTTAAACTTTATGTAGCAACCAAAACAAGATCCCTCAAGTAAGCAAGTTAAGCCTTACAACTCAACTTGGCTATTCCTGATTAATGGTGAAATTTAGCTACAATTCCACCCAACAGTGTCTGTCTCTGGTTTGATCCTTGGTTTGATCCCTATGCAGTGTTGTTCTCCAAAGTTCTGCTGCAGGGGGAGTTCTGGTGCTTGAGTCTTATACAGTTCTTTAACATTCTTGTCCATGTTGTGATATTGATGATTCTTTAGAGTCCTTTCATCCAAAATATTGATTAACCTTTTGGAGTCCTTGAGACTGCAGCTTGCTTCCGTATCGGAAGTAACTTTTCTTTGTTCCTTGTTACATTTGGCCATTACTGCCTGCTCAAAGACACATTGTGACTTGTAATTACTCCTTAAATTCTTCAGCAGGGCAATCATTTATCCTTGTGGCATGAGACATCTAGTTATCAAGCAGGTGTCCAAGCAGTTTTGTTTACGTAATCTTGACTCCTTATTTTCCCAGACATCACTAATTGCTTTTAATCTCTATATAACAGTTTGTCTTTTTCCCTTAACAATTTATTCCAGACAGATATTGCTACAGCTTTCCATGTATAGTTTATCTTTGTTGATTCATTTAATCCATGAGCAGTTATTAAAGTTCTGAAGTCTGTAATATCACAGGATCTCCTCTTTGCTCATTATTTTTAATGTGATGAACAAACACCAGTAATTAGCCATTTCCCACCATATTGGTTCATATTCCAAGCTGGGTTGCTGCACCATACACTATTTAAAATGCAGCATTTCATTTTACACTGCAATCGAATGCAAATTAAGAAATGAATTAAATAATAATGATCAGTAAATAAATCACAAGTAATAAACATACACAAAGAAATAAACATGCACGAAACAAAAAATAGAGTAACAAACATGCGTTATACTTCACTCATTGCAGCTTTAAGATTCTCATGTCTTAACAAGATTAATTCCCTTTTCAACTGCTGCATTTGTTGCTGACGCCAATGATGAAGCAAGTGGTAGAAACAAGATTGATCCAAGTACACTAAATAATATGAATATGTGAAATAATACAAACCCATGCAGCAGTGTATACGTTACTTCCACAATTCTAGATGTCATCCCACCAAGAATGTTCCCTAATGTTTTTGATATCTGTTTGATTGCCTGACTACTCTGCTGAACCTTAACATATGTCTTTCTCACAATCCCTTTTATTTCTTCCAAATGTTCCCTTTGCAAGGCAATATGGACCTGAAATGTTTGCTGATAAGACATAGCAATTTCTCTGGCTAAGTCAGTCGTGTGAAAAGTCACAGATTTTCTTCTCCTGTTGTTAGCCAGTTCCATTGTTCCACTGCCCGTGGGCATTTGAGGGTGAATGTAAAATGTTGAATCATTGATGGGACAAGACAGATTATGGTATTGATAACTCTTTTAGAGATGTTGTGATACAGTATTCTCCTTTGCCTGCATATCCAACTCTGATTATGTTTTCCAGAGTGGTGCTTGAAATTTTGAGAGTACACTTAACAGTTTCATTACCACTGGACTCAAAACTGCATATGGCTTGTCCAGTTATGTGAATGGAATCGGAACAAACAATAGTTTTATCAGTCTGTTAGCATTCCTTAAATGTTCTCCCTACAAATATTCCTCCCATTCTATTGCATAAGGTAGAACCTCTTTAACTGTCATCACTCCAACATTTTGTACTGTTATAACATTTGATGGTTTGTTATCTTTAGACATAACTGCTACCCCTAACGCAAGACCAATTCCATTGCCACCCAAACATGAATCATTAGTCCTTACTTTTGTTAATCTCCTTAACTCACTGAGAAATTTTACTTAAAGTTTCTGTCCCATCAGCTAATTTCCTTAATTTAGTGTTGTCAACCCATGTAGGAACTTCTCCTTTTCTCATTTGATTTATGTTTTCTCTGTACTGATCCAACTGCTGTACGTGCTACACAAAGTAACTTTTATTTGATGTTGACCATTCTTTCCTGCTTCCTTTATTAACTTGTTAATTGCACCAGCATTTGATTCTAAGATGTCAACAGTACGAAATGCAGCACTGTTCGTGGTGTCCCTGCCTGACTGCTAAGTTTAATGTTATCATTCATTGCACCCAGTTGTCCTTTAACTTGTGATGTTAATTGATTTAATCGATCACTTATAACAGCAATGTCTAGGCCATTAACTGTAGGAATGCCTGCACAGTAAATGCCTGCAACATCTCGTATCAAAGTTCTGCGCTTCCTGCTTTTCCCTTTGATTGTGTAATCTTCTTGATTAAACAACCCACTTGACCGATTCCTTATAACTTCTAGGTAAAGGTTTTGGACACCATGATGGTAACTGAATACCCGAGAGATTCAGAATAACTGGTACCAATTCATGACGGACATTTTCATTTAACACTTTACACGCTCTTTGCATAACTATCCCTCCTCTTGGTCCTTCTCTCCTTGCCCAACACACTATGTCAGTGCAAATGGACTTGACTTCTACATTACCACTGCACTGAAAATTAACACATGAATTTATGGGAGGAGATGTTTTCCAATGCTGTCAGTCTGCACATGTCATTGTTCAATTATTTGTAGAAAAACTCAGTCGTCACGTCAACCAGTACACAAACGGTTTTGAGTCCTGCCCTCGAAGATGTGGACTTCTGTGTCTCTGACCAAGAGGGTGCCGACCACATTAGTGGCAGAACTCCCACATAGCCACTGTGAAGCGTATTGTCACATTGTACACACTGTCCACTCCCACTGATCGTTGGACCCTGACTGCTGACTCTGTACTTCATTTGCAAAGGCCAACAATACAATTCCAATAAGCAGCTTCATAGTTTATCTAAAGTGCAAAAAAATGAAAAATCAAAGTAATTTCTGTTCTTATCTACAGTTTATCAGTTTACATAAACAGATTTTCAAACTCTCCGGCAAGGTAGTCAGTTACATCTCCTCTAACCAGGCATTTACTTGGCCTGCTTCTGTTTCACTGAGGTGAAAGTTTACTTTATGTTTTGATTTTCTCTTATTATAATTGTTTCCCATGGACATTACTAACTGCGAACATGGGGCTTGACATAATTGAGAAAATGGTAATCGCTGTTTGTGTCTAACCGATTGTTCTGTTGAGGCAATGGTGTGGTGCTTACAGTATCATCTGTCCCAGTGTTATTAGAAATT